ATTCATAAACGAAATAGATAAACGAATAACACTAAGATGGACTATCTAGATAAGACATTTAGATAGACCACTTTGGAGCGCCTTTCAGACGTACACATGACGGAGCCTGCTATCTTAACTAATAAAGTTGGGTTTTTATCTCTCCTTGGGAAAAAATGACACATGGCAATCTTGAAGTGGGCTTGTTGTGGCTTTTTGAGGCTATGTTTATCCTTCCAGATTTGAGGCCCATTAGTATCTTCCAGATTTGAGGTCCGTTAGTATCTTCTGAACATCCATAGCGTAGACTTGAGGTCTGTTAGTCTTCTGAACGTCGTTAGTACCTTCTGTACATATTTGTTTTTAAAGATGAATCTGAGATTTTAATTTTTCTCTGGGTACAGTTATTTATTAGTGTCTTGGTGCCGTGTTTCATAGGACGGTGGAAAGTCCCTGAGGGAATTCATCCTGAACGTGTGCCTCAAGAAACTGATGGTCAGGTTGGTAACCCTGGTGATAGTGCAAATAATCCAACAACGTCCACTGCTACAAGTGATAACCGTCCACAACATGCTAGAGTCGAATCTGATGTTGATGAAAATGCAACGAAGAAGGCCCATGTGAAATGAGGCCAGCCACATCTGCTTCCTTTCCGAATAATACTCTGCTTATTTTCCCTTTTTCGTTTTTTTTATCTATCTGATTTCAAATTTTATGGTTATTGTTTTTTTTTCAAAACTATTGGTCTTTCGTATTGGAGAGATGTTCGGTTTATCTGTTTAACGTTTATTATACCTGATTTTCATAATTTGTTGCTTCAGTTTCACGAGGCACTAACATTTGACATGTATACGAAACAAGTGAACGTGAATACATAAAAAACTAAAGTAATAGTTTCTAATAGTATACTTACTAAGTTTATGTTTAGCTGATATAAGAGTAAACTAAAGCATCTGAATATTTTTGATTTAATGAATTCTTCATGTATTTTTATTTGAACTTTCTGTTATTGACACGAGGTTTTGAAATATTCCGGAGCACTTTACTTTTTGGTTATGATTATTAAAATTGATAAAAACTATATAGTAAACACAGCTTGATCTTACCTCATAAATGTGCCTTCATCCGCTGACAAACTTACGGCACAAGTTAAGACAAATGATGTTTATGCTTTGGAATTCAAAGTTCACGTACATAGTTTTTGTAGAGCTACCAGTTACAAGTAACAGAAGATTTATGCATAGAAAGCAAATACTCCAGCCCAGTGCGATCAACATGAAACACTGCCTCCACGACATTAGCTTGCTTTGGGTTTTAATAGGCGACTCCTCAGAAACTGAGCTTCTCAATTATAACACTCGCACCAGACTCGAACTCATCCATTCTCGAACTCAGTCTCTCTGAATTTCTCACAAGAACCGAACGGAACTCAAAAGTACTTTCTTTAGCTAATTAAGGTTCATCAGTCTTTGTTAGAAGGGTTAATCACTCTAAGTTATGTCGACTTTGGTTTTTTTTTTACGTCATGGAATTGTAATGCATGCCGTTCTTAACTTCCCACCAAAATACGCTCCGTTTCCATGTTCAGAAAATGATGGCATCGGCTGCCTAGACAACAAACAAGACGACGAAATGTTAAAACCACACCAATAAAAATCATTTTAAAAAACAACGGACCATCACGAATATCTAGACATCGAATTTATCCTTTTATATAAATAATGACAGACTAAAGCAGCTTCGTAACTTATTGCTTATGAAAAATATGCTTAAAGAACATTAGGTTAAGAAATAACGTAATGCTATGTCATCATTAAATACATAACAACGAACAAAAATTATGGGAATATGCTAGAAAATAAACAAATTAGCCACTAATCTTAATTACAATTATGCAGATTTACATTCAGTTAGAAGCATATATTAACAGGAAACTTATCTCTAAAAAAGACATAGATACTTACGTTAAAATTAGATTTAATAGTAGAAATCCGGATTAGATTTAACAATAGAAATCCGGCGCGTAGCGTCAGTTCTCCCCTAGTAAATATTAAAGTCCCAAGTATTGAGATTGTTGGTTTATTGAGTTCTGAATTCTGCTTTAAAAACGTAGACCTAAGAAATTATTAAGCTTTAACAATAAAAGCTAGTTTAAGTTTTATTGTGAGTAGGCATGTGAATGAATTATGCTTGCTTTCTTGTGCGAACCTTCGGCGCACGTAATCAAATTGTAGTTTGGTATATCTGTTTTATTGCTATGTGTTGCACTTTTAACCAAAACAAAATTATTTGTTACAACAAATAAATTATTTTTAAACAATTTTCCTTGTAAAATATACTTTATGTGATCATGTTTCAGAGGACTATAATATTTTTAAATTTTGAAAATAAATTTGACATATGTAAAAACACCATATACTGTATTAGAAAGCTAAGTTGCAAAAGATAATAGGATTGTCTACTATATAATTTGTGTAAAATATAATGTTTTTACTAAAATCAGAAATTAGATTGTTTGGAGAGAAATTTGTTGAAATACTGTAAGTTGTCTATCACTTTTTAAAAATACATTTAGTTAAAATAAAATAACATTTGGATATGGTGGATTTAAAGTTTAGTTATTTTGTTTAGAGTTTGTATTAAAATTGTGGAGTTTGGATTTATAAAATTTATCAAGGATTTTTAAAAATTTACAAATAATTTAAAGAGATATTTTAGTATATTTATCACAAATTTAAGGTATTTAAGAAAATGACTACCTGTTAAAAATAAATTTGAAAAGTAGTAAAAATTTTGTGATAAAATTAGAATTTTCTTGTTTTGATTGTTATTAGAAGAAAATGGACAGAAGTAACTCTCTAATTGATATTCCATCCATTTCCGAATGTAAAATTTTTAAGACCCTTAAAATTATTCCACAAAAACAGTTTTCTATATTTTAAAAATATTTTGTATACTTTTAGAAAACATCAATTGAGAATATTTAAACTGACTAAATATCATTGGTCGATAATCATTGAAAATTATATAATAAAAATAAGTATTTAATGTTAAATATTTATTATATTTTTGATATGTGTGAATAATCTCAAAAAAAGATATTCTTTTGGAAACGATTGGAGTATATTGAATAGTCAAAATATATAAATCCATTTACTACAAATTAATTAGTTTTACCTAACTATGATAGACTTATAACTAAAACATCTGAAATGTTTTAAATTGGAAGTGTATATATAAGTTTTGCATGTATTAATCTGGATAAACTTTGAAAAAAGAAAATGAAATGATTTTTTTGCTTAAAATTTGGTAAAATGAAATTAGTGTTAGCTAAGACAATGCACGAAACCTATTTTAGAACATTAACAGATCATTATTTTCAAAATTTCAGGCGATTTATTGGTCGTTTCCCTTGTTTATTTGTTTGGATTTTTGTATGATTAGCAATCTTTTCTCCAAAATCGGATGGGAAGAAGAGCAAATAATTTACTTAATCTTCACGCTTTCCATTTATTACACTGTCATTTTGGACTGCCATTTTACTATTTCAATGCCTCTTCGCCACTCTCTATTATTCATTCAATCTATTGGCTTTTTTTTTGTCATTTTCAAGTTTTATAAAATACCAGAAACACTATATCTAGGCTTCCTAGACCAATCATATGAACTTGAGATAACTCAACTTTTTTTTTCCTTGTAGCTTTCATTTTGAAATTCTGATAATCAATCGGAGTAATCTTATTCGTGGTGGTCTCAAATTTTGTGTGTGTGTTTAGTTTCATCATTCATGCTGTTACCGAAACTATTTTCATTTTAATTGAATTTAGATTAATGCCACGATTTTGATAGTTTTGAGGTGACATATATCTGGCAAAAAAAAAACGTTTAAGTGACTAAATAAATAAGAATACCTAAAGAACCGATTTGAATGAACTGCAATTTTATTTTTTACTGTAGATATTTTTATTTTATTGTAAATAATTAAGTTGTAAGATTTTGACTGTAAATTTAAAAAGATTTAATAATTTACATATAAAATTTTAAAACAAAGAATAAATGTTCGACGTTTAGTGTTTTCCACGTTCAAAATAAACAAAAAGAAAAGAAAAATCTATAACTTTAAAAAATATTTACAAAGTATGATTGAAATAATTTATGCTCAAGAAATAATTTAGACTATGAAAAAACTTTACAACACTTCTAAAATATTTGTCAATCAGCCTCTAAGCCTCTATAGAAAAATAATCTACTTAGGCAATTCTTCGTGTGGCCGAACGATGATGGCTACAGGAGGAATCATTATGCTATTATGTAGATTTACCAGATTCAGCTCTGCTGATGTTTAAGAAATTGATAGGTGGTACGTAACTATGTGTCTTTTTAGATCAATGTACGTAATTATGTGTCTTTTTAGATCAATGTTTTTCTTTATTGATTAATTTGGGAGTATCTCAAGTCTCTGGAGAGATCCAGACTAATTCCTAAATGGAGGTGTAATCGATGGATAGACCATTTTTCAAGTATTCAAATAGATTCAAAAGCATGAATCCATCTATATACGTGTTAGGTGATCAGAAATAATTATGACTTAGTTTCACATATCAGGTGAGTCGAAGCTGAAATATGTTAGATCAATGTTTTGAAATATTTTCTCTTATGATCGATTTAATACTGATTTTTAGAAGACTTCTAGCTCTTTGATTTAATCATTCCACTTTTAATCAGTCTGCTGTCACTATTCATATTCCTAAAGAAAGTAAGAATATTCCTTAAGTTCCACACTTTAAATAAATCTCAAAAAACAAATGTACTATGTTAATTCGCAACACGTAAAGCGAATGTCATAGGGAGAATCTTATAGAAGGTCCCCCCAACTGAAACTTCCCTCTATAAATTCCATATTCACTCCCTCACTCAAAAGAACATTTCTCCAAAAGTAAAACATATCTCACTCTCTCTTATAGTCTCCTCCACTCTTCAAAAGCTTATATTAATATCATCCCCTCCTCTCCAATACAGCAATGGACTCTCATTCTTGTCACCAAACCAACAACCAGACCAAACAGATCATCCTCGTACACGGTCCCATCATCATAGGAGCCGGTCCTTCGGGTCTCGCCACGTCTGCATGTCTCTCTAGCCGTGGAGTCCCCTCTTTGATCCTAGAACGTTCCGGTTCAATAGCATCACTATGGAAATCCAAAACGTACGACCGACTCAAACTCCACCTCCCAAAACACTTTTGCAGATTACCACTCTTGAACTTCCCTGAAAACTTCCCAAAATACCCTTCTAAAAACGAGTTCTTGGACTACCTTGAGTCATACGCTTCTCATTTTCGTATCGCCTCTAGGTTCAATGAGAACGTCCAAAACGCTGCTTACGATTCTTTCTCCGGTTTGTGGAGAGTTCAGACTCTAAGTGGCACAGAGTATCTCTCTAAGTGGCTTCTCGTGGCGACTGGTGAAAACGCAGATGCTTATGTCCCAGAGGTTCCAGGGATAGTGAAGTTTTCTGGTGGGAAAATTATTCATGCAAGTGAATACAAAAGCGGTGAAGAGTTCCGACAACAGAAAGTTTTAGTTGTCGGATGTGGAAACTCAGGCATGGAGATTAGTTTGGATCTTGTTCGACATAACGCTTCTCCTCATCTTGTTGTCCGAAACACCGTACGTGATCAAAACATATTTACTTTTCATTTTGGTTATAATATATGAATTATTAATATTATATTTATTTCATGTAGGTTCATGTGTTGCCAAGGGAGATATTTGGCTTATCAACATTTGGAGTCGGGATGACACTTCTCAAATGTTTACCATTGAGGTTTGTTGATAAGTTCTTGTTACTGATGGCTCATCTTTCGTTTGGAAATACCGACCGGTTAGGTTTACGCAGACCGAAAACCGGTCCACTTAAGCTAAAGAATGTCACCGGAAAAACTCCGGTTCTTGACGTCGGAGCTATGACTCACATCAGATCTGGCAAGATTCAGGTGAGTTTTCTCTGTCTCCTATTTAATTATTGAAATAAGAGCATTAATGTTGTAAAAAATGGACCGAGTTAAGTTAAATCCTATCCTACTTTATTTTGGAGTAAAAATAAAATGATAAACAAAATAATTACATATTCAACTATATCTATTTTAATTCATGTTGGAATAAAAAATAGAATAGGTTTAGAAGTAGATTTTATTGCAAAAAGAGATTTAAATTGAGAAATAGAGTAAGAGTTGCTCTACTTTTAGGTGTGACAAAAAAAATGTTGCTCTAATTTTATAAGACTTTCTCCTCAAACGTTCACTTTTCTCTTTTTATTCACATTAATTTAGTGACAGTCATGCGTGGCCTGTAACTGAGTTGTAGTCATCTTTTAGCCATGGAATAATACTGTAATAGCCAACTTTCTAAAAGAACCGTGTTAATGTGGAAACTACAAAGGAAAAATGATTTAAAAAGATAGAATAGGTTATAAGAATGTTTGTTTTGTTGAAAAGTTTCCTTCTTCTCGTTCTTCAGAAAAAGTTAATTTTTGTTCTTCACTGTTTCTGTATTTACTTTCATCAATCGTTTTGTATTTACTTTCATCAATCGTTTTAATATTGATATGCTTCCATCAACCTTGTTGCTGAGGTCGACCTAATAGATGTCTGTTTGTCTTTTTATTACTGTAAAAATAAAGATAATGGAAGGTGTAAAGGAAATTACAAAAAATGGAGCAAAGTTTATGGATGGTCAAGAAAAGGAATTTGACTCTATCATATTTGCCACTGGTTACAAAAGTAACGTGCCTACTTGGCTTCAGGTAAGCTTAACATCTATAGTTTTCACTCATCTATAAACTAATCAAAAACGATAATAACATATACCTTCTTTATAATTAGGGAAGTGATTTGTTCACAAAGGAAGGGATGCCCAAAACGCCGTTTCCTAACAGTTGGAGAGGAGGGAAAGGATTGTACACGGTTGGGTTTACGAGGAGAGGACTCCTTGGAACGGCGTCTGACGCGGTTAAGATCGCTGGTGAAATAGCTGACCAGTGGAGAGACGATATCAAAGGGACCAAGAATCTGTGCAGCTCTCGCTTTGTCATTATTTCTAAATCCTAATTTGTGTTTAGAAACGAAAAAATAAGAATCACAACCTAATTTTGCATGCTGTAAATTAAAGAAATAAACTTGTATAGATGCGGTTATATCCAGATTAGTTAATAATGTTTTATTTGTTATTTAGAGCATTTCCAACCAATCTATATAATTGTTTCTATAAATGCATGTCTAAACAATTCTATTTAAGCCGTTTTATTTGTCTATATAAAATAAAATGCTATTTTCTTAAATAAAAAGAACAAAATAATATTTTTAATTTCTTACTCTAATTATAAGTAATGTTTTTTTAAAGAAATTATTAGAAATGGTCTTAAAATCGTTAAAAACCACTAAAAGAGTTGAAACACATCTAAATCTATAGTTCATGTCATGCGACGGAAGTTATTTTTGGGTTCACCCCTAGATTCACTAACTAATAGAATGATGTTATTTCATATTTGATATTTTTTTTAAAAAAAAAATCTTTTTAGATTGTATTATATTTTTAAATAAAAGATCAAAAATAAATAAAAATAGTAATATTTACAAAAAAACAAAAAAAAATCGTTAAAAAATATATTTTAACACTAAAACACTAAACCCTAGTCTTAAACCCTAAACCCTTGGGTAGATCATAAACCCTTTGAAAAATATTAAACATAAATCAAAAATTAATACTAACCAATTATACTGTTTTTTATTTATTTTTATCTTTTTATTTTAAAAACATAATATAATGTAACAATATTTTGTTTTCATTTTAAATATATATTAAAAGATTTTTTTTTAAATGTTTTTTGTAATTATTACAGTTTTATTTTATTTTTATATTTTTATTTTAAAAACATAATATAATGTTAAAAAATTAAAGAATTTTTCCTTTTTTGTAAATATTATTATTATTATTATTATTTTTTTAAATATAATATAACTTAATAAGATTTTATTTACTTTTTAAAAATATATCAAATATGAAATAACATCATCTGATTGGTTGATGAACCTAGAATCTCACCCTATGGAATAAACCCAAACATCTATATTATTAAAACTGAATTAACTTTTGGTACTATTTGAAAATAAGGATATCAAAATAAATGAAAAATTGTTTGGAAACATTGATAGTAAATTAAATATTTCCTTTTATTCCCATCATTTAACCATTGCATTTACAATAAATTAAATATTTTCCTTTTGTATTTTTTTAATTTACAGATTATGTCATTGCATTTACAATCAATTTAAATTAGTTAATTACAAGGATTTTTCTTTCTTTCTGGTGAAAATAAAAACACAAACTGAAATATATAATATATATATTATATAGAATATTTTTAAATATAGTATTATCTTATTTAGTTTATTCAAATATAAAATTTTGAGAGTTCAAATTTTAAGAAAAGAAAATATTATAAAATTAATGATAGTTCATAGAAAACTAATGCAAAATTACGTTTTAGTATGTTGTTTCATTTTAAATTAAATAAAAAAAATCTACATGTTAATATATGAATAGTACAATTACATCAAATTGCATCAAGTTACAAATTTTTAATATAATATTATATACAAATAAAATAATAATTATTAAACATTTATATTAAAAATAATATATATATTCCATATGTAAATTACAAAACATATAAAAATATTATTTTTTATAAAACTACGTTTATATTGAACAAAAGTTAAATCAAACATTTGCACGGGGTGCGGATCAAGTTCTAATAAGTCTTAATTCTGTATACATTTTCAAATATAATACAAAAAATATGCAAACTGCTTTGCTATTTACAAAGGTTATATATACATTAATCATATTAATGTCAAATGGAAATACTAATAAGTAGGTACATAGTATATCGAAATGTGTCACATTTACATAAGAGAGACAAATGAATATGTAATGAACTGTGTATGTAAAGAGAGATGCAGACGTAAGGAAGAGGGATGAAGGGTGGGCACTGATTTGTCACTGAGATGAGAATTGAGATCTGACACTCTTCTGCGACCACCGCATGGACTATCTCTTTCTACGAAATTGATCTATCGCTCTCTCTCTTTCTCTGCCGTCATGAGATAACTCATACACACACACATGCGCATTTTTCTAATACACACACATGCGCATTTTTCTAATAAGTGATAAACTCTCTTTTAAGGGTTTTTATTCAATTGACCCAAAATACAACTTCATATACTGGGGCCTGGGCTACTGCATCCACATCAGAATGGATTATTGGAGCAATGCGTTTGCCTTGTTTACGTTTATAAACTAATTTTATATAGCCAGAGCTATAAATTAGCTGTTTATTCGAGACATGACCTTTTTAACTATGGGGTAATGGCTTTGCGCAAGCTATTTGCTATAACCACATTATAGCACAGAAGAACCTATGGAAAATATAATTACATTATAAAATATTAATACTTACAGAAAACACTTACAAATTCATAACTTCTTATAATATACTAGGAAATAGGACATGTATATATATATATCTGATATATCTAAATTTGATTGATTTTCTGACTTCCTTTTGTACTTTGTGTTATTTTCAATAAGATCGATCGGATTTACAATTTTGTTATATACTAATCAAACAGTGAAAGTTTCTCAAACGAATATCAATCAAATCCTTACCAAGTTACCAAGAACAAGTATTGAGTCAATAAATCAACGGTATTTGAGAGCATTGAATTTAAGAAAACGTTATGACACGCATCCCATGCACACCTTACGTTAACTATGCTCAGTCACTTACGTCATTCTTTTATTGTCCTGCTGACCATTTTGCAGGCACTGTCAATTTTCATGATGGATTTGACATTTCTCTTTGCATGTTAAGTATGTCACCCCCCTTTTAATTCCTTGCATCTTCCATCGGTTTAATACTCCAATCCTTTAACCTCTTTATGATATTTTCTTACATATCTGAGTTTGATCGTTTTAACTTTTGAATACGTTTAAAAGTGCAACACGTTTGGCTTAGTTTTACTAGCTGAGTTAATTTTCTGTGTTTGTATGACTAAATGAAAACTAAATTAGTCACTTGTTTAATGGATCCCAATCTTTTATCTCACTGAATACATTAGGTATTTGATCTAATCATTCTACATTCTTAACTAATGTTTAAGAAATCGTTAGGAGGTAACTAAACATTTTGTACAAGTCTAACGTATATACAAATTATTTAGAGATAAGACGTAACCTACACGTTAGCAAATTGTTCATCTGATTGTTGTATATTTTATATTTATCTGATATTTTAATTTTTTTTTTGTTTTAACTTATTAAATTAGTTTGATAACTAACAAAATATAAAAAAACTAGAATAACTTAACCCTTGGATAAATTAATACTAACCAATTATACTGTTTTTATTTATTTTTATCTTTTTATTTTAAACACATGTTTTTATTTTAAAGATATATTAAAAGATTTTTTTAAAATTGTTTTTTGCAATTATTACTGTTTTTATTTTATTTTTATCTTTTATTCTAAAACATAATATAACGTTAAAATATATTTTTGAAGATTTTTTTTTGTTTTTTGTAAATATTATTATTCTTATTTATTTTTTCCAGTTTTATTTTAAAAACATAATATAACTTGACAAGATTTTGTTTAGTTTCAAGAAAAGATAACAAATATGAAATAACATCATCCTATTGGTTAGTAAATGTAGAGGTTCACTTTAGGGGTGAACCCAAGAATAAGTCATATTTAAAAGCCACTTTAACCGATTTTAAAAATCTTGTTTTTTTTTCAAAAAAAAAATTGTCTTCTAGACACTTGTAAGAGTGTTTAGAATATTTATGAATAATAAATTTAAACTACTAATAAGAAATAAAATCATAAGCGATTAATATTGTAAATGTACCATTATACTTATATATATATCGATTAGAAATTGTAATTAGTATTGGATATGATATTATTTTTAACTTGGTTTTATTTTATTTTATTTTATTTGTTACGATGCATTTAGTTCGTCAGATAGTTGTTTCGTGTTTCAGTTGCTTGCATGCTATTAATAAGTTTATACATTTGATTTAAAATTTCTATGCATGTCATAAATTTATCAAATGCATCATATGAACATATATATAGTAACTGGTACACGGAGATCTGTATTTTCTTGTTTCGTTTTCTTTTTTCAAAACACTCATACATCTCCATCGACTAAAATGACTGAGTTATGGAGGTAAAGACGATCTATGTAACTATGTTTTTTCGTTTCAGTCTTTTTTCAAAACACTCATACATCTCCATCGACTAATGACTGAATTTTTATTGGTGATCAAGTAGGGGATATTGACAAAACCGACAAAAAAAGAGGGCGGGGATGGTAAAATCCCGATTATTAATTATGTGGTAGCATCATTCGAATGTTACGTATACAATCGTGACTTGTCTGATGCTATAGAATTTAGAAGGATACAATAGTGATATAATATTAAGGCATGGACCACGAGAGGAATTAGAATCGAGATGAATACTCATGATCCGATGAACCGTACGTACCTTCCCTATTGCACTCTTAACTTGGCATGCACTTGTACTTATCAACTCTGCACACACAAGAATACAAGATGCATATGATAAAACCAAAATAAAAACAAAAACAAAAACAAATATATGAAATTATAAGATTCATGGGGAGTTGCCATGCAAAGAAACAAATGCACTTCCCTTACTCACGTATTATATGTAGCCATATATGTGAAACTTGATATTACGTGCGAGTCAAAATTTGAAATTTGTATTACATGTATATATGATGACAAAAGCAAAGTTTTCATGAGAATAGAGATGTCGTGTCCTCTGCTGATTCTGCATCCTCCATTCAAAGTTTACTCTTAGATTGCTGTATTCCCATTTGTATATCTTTGTATCTTCCACCATACTTTTTTTTTTTATCAAAGATCTTCCACCATACATATTCCAATGGCCAGTAATACTCCAATTTTTGTTTAAAGTGTTGCGCTCTCTAGTAATCAGATCAATTATTATCTAT